TTTATCTGCTAATAAAGCATATAGAGTCTTTTATTCTCAACTGCTATTAACCCAATGAAATCTACTCTATTAACTTTTAAACAGAAATTCTTTTTATTCGCACTTTACTTTACGCATTCACTAATGTTGTTGCTGTTTTACACCTAAAAAAAAATTTTTCAAGTCTTCAATTTCTTCTGGTTCTTTTCTTTCTCTCGTCAAGTATTATTTAGTTGAAAGAACGTTGTTGCAATAAAAAGCAACCTTATTCGCTGGAAAAAAAATAACCTTTTCAGCCAGCTCTGTAGTAAAACTGATGCAGTTCCCATATTGTGCCGCAACCAAAAACTTTCAAAGAATAGTGTCGGCATCGACCTCAATAAGACTTTTATCTATTTTGAATTTGACTATTTTGTGAAATCAATCTCGCTTATATAAGCAGTTCAGTAAAGAATAAGAAAGAAGAAGAGAAAAAAGCGTACTGTCATTTACACACTTCAAGTGTAAGAGGGTTGTTTATTCTTTTTACACTTTTGGAACGGGTTTTTAACTTTTAGAATTTTTGAAAAAAACTTTTATGCTACCGAAAAAGTCAGTGTTGGTTGACCAAGAATTTCGCTCAAGTGAAAAAAAATGTTCTTTTCTTTTTTTTTCCATTTATTTTTATCCGTGAAATGCCAGTATCAACGACGATTGCTCTAAAACTGAGAAGTCGTGAGCAGTCAGAAATTCTGATAGTGGTTTTGGTAAGCAAACCGTAAACTGTTGTCACCTTTCTGGTTTTCCGTGAATACATCTTAGTTAGTCAGTAAATGAAGCTTTGAAAAGCAATAGCCAATAAAGTTTTGCTTTGGTAATTATAAAATGTTTGTGTAACTTTCAACATGTTCAATATTTTTTATTCTTAGAAACAACAAAGAAGTAGTAAAAAACACAGCTAAAATTTTGACTAATCTAGCGGAAATCTGGTTTTTTTCTATCCTGATGCTTTTAAAATACTCGTTAAAACTGGACAATTTAATGTATCATGATTTCTCTACAAAATTTGTTACGCAAAGCACTAAAATATATCATCTTAATATGTCACAGTCAGTTCCGTTTTTGAAGGCCGTTTACGGTAATTTTTTGCTTTTTTTTACCCATCTTTTATTAACAATGCCAAATCAGTACAGTCATTTTTCGCTCACGTAAGTAGTAAGAAATGAACAGGTAAAATAAAGAAAGGCATAGTTTTTCACTATAGGTTGGTATCCGTGTTGGTGCTGTTTCTGCGTATGTTTCTGTATGTGTATTTGCTGAAAAGCGATTCCTCTTAGTTCACCGAGTCTTCGCTCTTAGTTGACAATAAACTGATTACAGCTGCTACCGATCACATTTTTATCGTAAAAGAATCAGTTCTCTGGTTAGTTATCTACCAGTACTAACAACTTTTGATTCACACTGATGTTTCAGATAATATCTGCACTTTTTCACTTTCTTTTTTCTTTTTATATATATACTTTTTTTGCCGATTCGGTATATCTTCACTTCACTTTCGAATAATCGTCATCTTTAAAGCAATTGACGCCTCTGAAGAATCCAGTTGCCAGCAATGCTGTCATCATCTACACCAGTTTTTTTTTTATGCTGCTTCAATTAGTAGCAAAATTTGTTTCGCTATAGTGATGATAACTCTTTTTTACGTCTAAAATTCTTAATAACAGAATTTTGCTATTGAAGTCTTTGAAAAAAATTTTTTTTTCAACGGTGCTTAAACATAATTACCCAACCTTTTCGTAATTTCAGTTTTTTGATAACTGCTTCTTGTTTTTTTTTCTTCATATTTTTTCTTATCAAGAAAACAAGTGTTGTGATAAGATAAAAAAAAAATTACTTTGTTCACTGATTAGGCAAAATGACTGAGAAAGGATAGCAGTATCACCAAGAAGGTACTGCTCAACCGGGGGTTTCACAGCAATTTGCTGGTCACTTCTAGTTCAATACTGCTTTAAATTATTTTGCTTGAACAGATCAGTTACTGCTACCTTGCAACATTTTCTTATCAGGAAACACAAAAGTTTCCAAATACTGCTCAAAAACTAATCATTTCCAAAGATAAATACACAGCTATGAAGATCTTAAACCGGATAAGAAACAAAGCAAGAAAAAGTAAAGAAAAAAGAGTAGCAGCAGCAGCAACAATAACAAGAAATTTAGGTTATATATTATACGCTGTACCTGCATTATACTGTCTTAGAAGACTCCGGTTTGTTTAAAATAACAGAAACATTCCGTATCACAACAGGAAATCCAGTACTGATTATGGCGAGAACCTGTTGCTTTCAGCAGACATTCGATTTCGTTAAATATTTTGTTCAGTTTTACTCTTTAACGCTGTCATTTTTACAACTAATTCTGGCAATCAACAAATTTCTGATAAAGCAACGAGGGATTACTTTGGAAAAAAGGAAAATGAAGGACCAACGCATAGAAAAAATGATTGTAATCAGTGTGTTAGTAAATTTTCCTTCATTTTTAAAAGTGCACATTTTCGTACAGCTCAGTGACAGTCAAATGGTGTGCTTATGGTCAGATTACCGTTGTTCATTATTTAAAATCCAGCCGGCAAAGAAGAGCAACAGCATACACTTAAAAAAAACAGCTTTTCAGCGTCAACGATATTGGTGACCGGAGACGTATCCGTTTACCTTTCTAAACCCACCCAACTAACTCTTTCACTATTTCTGACAACACGTTATCTTTTTTAGGTTTTTTCCAATCTAATAAAAAATTTTTTTTGTTGAATACACTTGACAACAGCAACTAATGCAGAAAATAAAATAACAACAACGTTGACTTCGATAAACATTAATCACAATTAAATTATTGGAAATTATTAATAACAATTTGCTAACTTAATATCCTACATCAATCGATACAGCAGATAGGTTTTAATGTGAAAGCTTTGAGTTATTTTCTTCTTATCACTCAAAAGCCAACGCAAAAACAGTAAAGAAATACAGGTTTAAAAAAAAAACGGATAAAGAAGATGTAACAGTTTTTGCAATGGTAGCCTTGAATATCATAGAAAAATAAGTCCGTTAAGTTATTTGATTTCCATAAAAAAAGACAAGAAAAACTGCAGTACCAATAATGGTAAATACTGAAAAACTTCTTTTTCTTTGCAGACTTTTGTTGCAAAAGCTTTTGTTCAGCGTTTAAACAGTTAATCCTGCCATACGTTCAACAGATGAGAATAGCTGCGCTTTCAAAAGCGTCAATGACCGATGAAGATCAGATGAAACAGTTGAACAGGATACAATTCATCAACCAACTAGATAATTTTGAGCAACAGATATGCTACTGTCGCACAGCAGGTAACGCCTAAGCGACGATATCCCAGATGTTGATCAACTATTACTTCAGTATACAAATGTTGATACACGAGTAGAAATATACGATTACTTAAATTTTATATTGCTTACTGCTCAACCTGATGAATACTGAAGTCGCTGCTGTTCTCCGCATTAATCAGGCGATTTTACAGCAAATACTGCAACTGAGTTTCATTAACTGGGTATATAATAAAAGTGGCAGCAAAATAAAGAAGAATAGAATACACATGCAGAAGAAGAGAAAAGAGGAAAAAAATTGGCATAAGACGACAAAAAAAAATAGGAGGAAAGAGAAAGTAACGGAAACAGCGCTGTGAACAGTATGTGTGATATAGTTAATTTGGTTTACTGTTGTTTGCTTGTCAGTTGCTGTACTGTCTTCATCGATATATGGTAGGCAAAAAAATAATTCCTAAGAGTGAACAAATGAAAAAAAAAATTCATTTTTCTTTTTTTAGAGAATTTAACTGAACACACAACGACAAACAAGTTTTGGCTGTATTCAGTTGAAGAAACTGATTAGTGGTGGTTACAATGAAAATGCACCTTCAGAGTTTTTTTTTTTTTTAAACCCATTTATTTGCTACATTTTCTGTTGGAATCATTCGTTCGTTTCTCTGTTCGAACTTCATTTTCGTTTACAAATTTTCTTTTTTTTTTCATTTTCTTTTTTTTTTTCTTTTTTTTTTTTTTTTTT